TCCTGGGAAGTACTTGGCGGCCAGTGTGATGTTAACCCATTACCCTCCTAGTGGTAAGTGGTCTGTAAACTTACGCATCATATGCACCAGCAGTATGAAAATGGTCCTTTGCTTTAGTTACTGCACTCTAAGCCAGTACTCCACACATGCTCAGTTCTTTCAGCAAGTTCTAAAAAGTGAATATGTGTGAGTGCCTATTCATCTGAAAAATGTTCTCAAACAGGGAAATCTTTTTTCTTATTACCGTTCACTGGCTATAAACTGTGGTGGTAAGTTCTGCTAGGTGTCCACTTCTAAACTTTGGTCTTTTCCAGAACTTGAGTTTTGCAAGCACATCCGTTTTACAGATCTGGCTTATCTGTATGCAGACTGTTGGTTTCTCATCTCTCAGGCAGATGCACTCCGACTCTGAAGCAAACACCCCTAATTAGTTGCCTTGTACGACAGGTTTGTTAAGAGGACAGTGGGTCAATTTTTCCCTCCAAAACGGAGTCCCACATGGGGAGCTAGACCTGGGGAATAAACTTCAAACCACCATGACAGTAAGCCAGTGCACTATCTAGCATGCTCAAAAACAAGCAAAAGCAGCAATATTCTTGTCCATGTGTTCCATGAGCTCATATGGGAAGCAAAGAAAAATAACACAATGAACTATGCATGTCACATGATGCAACTGAGAAGAGTTAACATGAGAGTGCACCCCCTGCCTTTTCCCGTCCTATAGAAAACTTTAACTGCAAAATCCAACCAATCAAGAACATGTCTACAAATAGCTTAGTATGAGACCTATGTATGCTCCAGAGGGAAGCAAAAAGAAAAAAAAAAAGAAAAAAAAAATAGAAGAAGCGATGTCTACCTTGCAAAGCATCAAGCAACTCTATCGCTGACAGGAATATAGAATGAATCTTCTCCACCTCTCTGTCAGAATCTATTTCTGCTGCTTCTCCCAGTAGATCACAAAGAGGAAGGTCACCAGTCACCGGCGTACATCCAGGAAAAGAATGTTCTTGAGACTTGCAGCTGCAGACAACAAGCAAAAGGTTGTTGAATAATGTTTTCTGAGTGGAAGGTACAAATCCATTACAAACACTGCTGGGACAGAATGTCATACAGACAATAACAAACCTAGCTCAACATGGGTACCAGGTAATGTTGTGGGAAGTTAAGGCAACAGCAGCATGCTGACATCATTCATCAACAAGTCAATAAAAAATAATACACTCAATGTTGAGCCTTAAGGTCTGAAAAAGACAACACTCTCCTCCTTTTTAAGCCAAGTTGATGCCAAATTTTCCTGTACGCATCAGTGATAGAGGTCGCAGGGTCAGGGCATGAGTCACTCTATACATATGTTTTTTTTAACTCCAGGGAAGGTATACTATTCAATGCTTCACCCTGTTTGTATTAATTGCTTACTCCTATCATACACCTTAATATATTTCGGGAAACAAATTAAAAAATGTAAATACATTTGTAATGAAAACCTGTGACCTGTAGTAAAAAAAAAAAAAAAAAACTGTGTGATGGATTTTTTCCTGAAATTCCAATGAGGTCATGGCCTATTTTTTGTGTGTAAGTGTTCCTGGAGCAATAGGTTGAGACTGAATGGAAATAAAAATTAAAACAAAATACTTACCACAGCCAATGATTGTTGACAAAAGCAGCAGGATGGTAAAACTTTAGCCTGTTCTTGTTGCTTTTGCAAATTTTGGTCAGGAGATCCATCCTATAATTAAAACATTAACTTATCATTGAAATGTTTATTACTGCCTGCATCATCTGCTGGGAGAACAAAGAGCTAAAAGATGAGATCTGTTTGCCCTTCTTGTCAATGTATGCCAGCTAGCCTTAATTTTATCTTTAATATATAACAACTTTGCCATCTTAGGGTCGAGAAGTCATGTCTGCATTATGTCAAAGATTATATACTCAGTTACCTGTGTGGTTCCGGGGTCTCATTGTGGGGGGGGGGGGGGGGGGGGGGGAAGGAATAGACCCAATACCTCCCTAAAAAGCCTGTCATAACAGTAGACTAATTAGGGGATTCCTTCGAAGTCAGAGTGCATCTGACAGGGAGGCAAGGAAATCAACAGTCTGCACACAAATAAGCCATATCTGTAAAATGGATGTACATGCCACTCTCAGATTCTTGAACTAAAGTCCTGAAGTAGATTACCAACTAGAACATTCCACAAGAGTTTACAGCCTATGACCATGAAGAAGAAGTAGTATAGATATGTTCAGTCAAGTAAGTACTGTCTCCAAAATGAAGGTCCGCTACAACAGATCACGTACAGACTCTTTTTCTTGTTTACTCTCTGACATTCCTGTTCATCCATCTCTTAATGTCATAGTCCCATTTGTACTGCTGCCTACCATTTTAACTGCTTGTTTTAAACTTTTCCCTTTTTTAAAGAGTGTTTTGTCTTTCCATATAGCTGAACAATCTTTAATTTATCTTTCTCAGATTTTCATTCTAACTTTTTGTCATGATACACTGAATACTTAGTTATTTGCTTCTAAACAATACTGGTAAAGACTCTAGCATATGCAGTGATAGTGAAAACATTTCTACAATCTTACAATGGTAACACTTTTACAAATTGCAATCTTCTCCTTTTCTGTCTCCATGGCAGTGGTTTTCACATGAGAAGGCTACACAGATCCTCTATGAAAGTTCTGGTGCAACTGATTTCCTACACAGATCCAAACAGCATGGTTTCCACCAGAATACCAACTGACCAGACATGGGATCTCTCTACTCCATGTAGAAATTATGTCTGCAGCCCAAGTTCAGCATTCTGTGGTGACACTGACTATTTTTTTTTTTTAATGATGGCACTTTATATCCTTTACGTCCTTCTTAGGACGTAATTTTTTTGTTATTTGAAGCCCCACTCTGGCTTTTGCCAGGGGCCGCAATATAGGCAGGTCATCATTATGGCCAAATGTCTGAAAGCGGTTTCTGGAACCTCTCCACGGTGATTCTCATCCGCATGGTGGCACTTTGTGTCATCGGGTGTTTATCGCTTGTGTGATGTCCTGGTGGGGTAGAAAGCCAATCCAATCCAATGATGGCATAGCTTTACTTCTAAAACTGAAAGCTGAATAAACGTTTAAAAATAAAATTTGCCTGTTTATTCTCATTAGTACAACAGAGCTTTCCAAACTGTTTGCTATGACACATTAGTGTGTTGGCCGCTGTGTGAAGGTGTGTCGCAAAAATGTAAATTGTAAATGTATCCCTATGTCTTATAAGTAGGTTAGTTTAACTTCTGGCTTGCTAGCAGACTGAATTACTGTGTCACAGAATTAGGTTAGTCTAAAAGGCATGTTACCATCATAAAAAAACTTTAAAAAGCTCTGGTGGAGAGTATGTGAAGGGCAAACACTTCACACCTGTATGGTAGAACCTGCTAAGATACTACATTTACCCTTTTTCTCTTAAAAACCTATGATTTTAAAAATAAAGCGACTGATAAGTGCGCTTTTGATAACAACTTTGTGATATCAATTTCAGACAAGAACAGTCCTAGAAAAACATAAATGCAAAATCACATGTGAAATGAGATGTAAAAGAAATGTGGTCGGAAAAAAAAAGAAGAGGCACAGAATCACAAATGAAGAACTAAAAAACATTAGTAGGCAAAGTACAGGTGAATGATTTCAAAGAACATCAAAGGATCAAATAGTTCGTCTCACTTGATCAGAATGGAACTAAATCAGACAGCAGCTAGAACACACTACATGAGAAAAAAACAGGCTACAAGTCAAGAGGCAGACCAAGTGAGTGATAGTTGAAGAGAGTAAAAAATTACGGAAAATGAACACAAGTTATGCAACAAACAAACAAACAAAGAGCCGTGTTAGCCCAGTCGATAGGAGGCTTGCTTTCAAATCCAGCTGCGACTCGCTGCAGCCACGGTCGGTGCTTGAAACTGGGTGGTTCCGTGGTTCACCCAGCCTCTAGGAAATGGGTACCAGAGTCGACACTCTGGGGTGAATGGAGGAACATCGCTGTAGCTACAGAGTTACATGCAGATGGTGACACAGGAGACAGTTTCTTATCAGCTGTCCATACTGGTGGCAGAGCACTTATGGTTTATAACCATGTGCAATGACACTGGTTCACATCTTTTTTTTACAAACAAAGAAACAAAAACAAAAAACTACTTATAACTCCCCTCTGTGATGCTTTGTAGAATATTCAACCTAAGAAAAATAAAGTAAGCTTGCCGGTCAGTCTAATGGTCACAGCTTCAATTATCATGAAAACCGAACTTCAATCAACTTGACCTGAGTTTCCAGGTTGATCCAGCCGAAAATCGGTACTCAAAAATGACCTAGGAAGTAAATGTGGATGGCATGATGCTGTCAACATGTATCTACTGTGCCGTCTGGTCTATAAATATAACATATAGCACCATATGCCTAAGATACTAAGGTTTTAAAGAGGACCTTTACTACTTTCACTTGTTTTAATTATAATCATTATAATTATAATCATTAAAATTTTTTAACATTATTTCAATTAATTAAAAATTATTATTATAATCAATGTCTTGGGAAATGAACAGATGGACAGATTCGCTGGCTCTGCACAACTTGGTTGAATACTGATGCATGATAAGGCAAGTGTACAATTCTGCTAAGAGTGATGCAGCGAGGAGTGACGAGAGGATCTGGATGATACTTGATACTCAGAGGAAAGTCAAGATGACATATAATCAGTCTGCTACTGATACCATTGGTATTGGAACTCTGCGCTGGTTGCTGAAGATGGGGATGGAGCGCTTATGGGAGTGCTGTGATGAGGGTTCTTGAATCAACTCAACTCAATTATAATAATTTCTCTTCTTCTTTATTCCTTTAAATCGCTCAAAATTCCTTTTAAAAATGATTCTTCTTCTTAATTTACAACTCCATTTCTAAACGCTATTCCTTCTGCAAGTTACAACTACTGTAAAAGCTAAACACCATCTTATCTTGTAATTACTCACCATTCCTTCTCCTCCACACAATTATTGGCCTGAATGTAAAGGGCTCTCTCAGCATGAACCACTTGAAACATCTATTTGTGAACATTTGAAAAAGAAACACAAGAAACTACTAGAAAGCCTTTCTAATAAATCAAAAGTTTTATCTGATTCCTTGGAATAAAGAGCTACTTTTGATGTTTCTTTGAGAATCGATTAGTATCTTTATCTCTTCCTTCACGTCTCACTAGAAGGTAGAAGCAAAGATGGATACCAATAAAATCCTGCTCAATCATTCTGAGCTATAATTTGGATATATACAGTCCACTGTTTTTTGTTTTTTACCCAAATATAGAATATATTGGTCTATAAAACATTAGTCTAACACCCATTACACCTGATGGCACGGACAATCCGAAAGAGGCAGTCAATACTTTGTGACCACATTATCAGAAGAGAAAACTGGAACATGTGACTACTTGACAGTTCTTTCAAAAGAGAGAAAAGAAGACAATAACAGAAGATTCCTGATAAACTTTTGTTATGGCAACAAAAGTTGTGCACATGAACTGTTTACATGATGTTAGAGAGGGCAAGTTGTGGAGAATCATGATCTCCCACACCAGTCAGCAAGATCCATACTGATGATGATGTTCACATACATGGGTATACTACACCTTAAAATAAGTGACTTCAATTATTATATTTTGCTTGAATATTCTACTTTTGTGTATGTGTTTGTTCTTGTGATGTACTGTTAAATCCTTTCTTGCCCTTCTGTAAAAACACAAAAGTGGAGCTTTGGGAGAGGGGGAAAAAAACACAATTTCTAGTGAATCAACAAAAGATTAAAAGATGCTGGTATTAGGGAGTGCACACATTAAAAAGTAAAAAGGCAAAGGACCCTTTTCCGCCTCTTCAGGTGTAATGGGTATATAGGGCTAGACCTATAATATATAGACCAACAGGCACTGGGTGGATGATGAGGTCAGCATTATGCCAGCCTTGCTTTACTTTCAGGGAGTTCACCTGGTACCCATTAAAGGCTGGGTCGAACAGGGAGCCAAGATCATTTTTGGAAAACAGTCTGGCACCGTCATGACCTGAACCCATGACCACTGGAACCGCAGGCGAGCATCTAACCATTACATCACGGCATCTCCTGGTCATACATTAAAATCTGATAATATAATGAGAATGTCCAGGCAGTGGAACCACAGGCCAAAGAAATTAAAAGCAAACTAATAAAAAAAACAGACGAAGAAGAGAATAAGGCTGAAAATATGGGGTGGACATGGAGCTGCATACGGTGACAAAGTGTTAGAATGACTTGGTGTGAGTGGGTTGGGGCCTACACTCCAGTAAGGATGAAGGGCATCAGAAGAAGGAAGAAGAATGTAACATTTCTTCACGTCAAATCTGAGGACACTGAAAGCTGCCATTATTCTCAAAAACCTTTTTACTCATAGCGAACAAATAAACATGCACTCACTGACTGGCACATCCAGCATTGTACATTATTATAGCTATCTATTTTCATGTTGTATAGTGTGTCCTTCTTTCTTTCTACGTCTTTCTATGAGTGCCGATCGATACACGTCTTTAAATATACTTCTTCTATGGCCTCAAGGGTTCCCTATCTGTTCATTTCTGTGTACCTATGGTGAAAGAAACCATACATACTTGATGCATCCCAATCTGTCAGCTACACTGTTTACAAAAGTTTCATATAAGTTTTAACCATCAACTAGCATCTGTACCAACTGCGAAGTTGTAGGATTATCATACGAGAGGTTTCAGTTAAATAAAGACTCTATAAGTGAATGCCTTATGTTGTTTACCACTTTTCAAGGAAGTGTTCTTGCCAGAAGCGATCTGCAGTGGAAGTTGGAGAACCGCAGCACAGATTTTGTGAAATCTTCTTCTTTGCGTTTACCAGCTGTAAACTCCAGGGGAAAGTTCTGGTTGTTCGTCCACTTCTGGATTGTAGTCCTGTTCCAGAACCAGAGTTCTGCATGTGCATCCATTTTACAAATCTGATTTATTTATATGCAGATGGTTGGTTTCTTGCCTCTTAGGCAGATGCACTCGGACTTTAAAGGAAGCTCCCAATGAGTCAACTCTTACGACACGCTTTTGGTTAGGAGGTGAGTCTACTGTTCTTTTCCCTTTAACATGGCCCCGGAACCCACAGAGAGAATTTTGTGAAATAAACAGTCTGCTGACACTTTGTTTGTTGATAGAATTCTTCACTTCAAATAGGCTATAAAATAGATGTAATCAACCTACTGAGCTTATTCCATAGGAACGTTTGGTCGAGGAAATGGAGGAAACCAGGGGAAAATTACAGAGCCCTCAGCAGGCGGCTGGCTGTTCTGCTGAGAGAGACTGAGCCATATGGGATAAAACCCCATGCAATGAAGTCGATCCTCTTGACTTTAACCTTTAGCTCATAAAAAACATTGCAGCACTTACATATTTCATCTTGAAAGATTCCTCCTCCAGTCTCTCCACTGCTAAGATGTCTGTGACTGGGATCTCAAACAAATTATGCTTGTCACCTGAAATGTCAGCAGCCACAACATTACAATAAGTTAGCCTACAGCTGTCTGATATGTTATTAGTGGCGGCTCATGGCTAAAATATCCAGTGACAATAGGGGGTGCTGCAGTTCCACAATACCTGGTCACGAGCACCACAGTGTATTATTATTCTGTGCCACGCCAGTTATATTTTGACATCTCACACAATCACAAGAACCACACATTAGACCAGTTTCTTGTCCCTCTCAAGCCTTGTGACCAAACCATCCACATGACAACTGGCACGCAAATAACAAGATAGGCACAGAGCACATTAGACATAAAAGAAGACAACTGCATGCCCTCCCTCATTTATAATCTACTCCGTACAAGAAGAGGCTGTTAACAGATGTACATGGCAAGAGATAAGAAAACATGAATACACATTACATTCCCATCCCTTCCACAGAACAGGAAAAAAGTACATATGAGTTAACATACTAGACACATAAAATGGAAATTCCTATGCATGCCAAATCCTTCAAAGCAGTAGCCATTCCAAGGTCCCTATAATACCGGGGCTCTCAACCTTCCTAATGCCACAACCTTTTTAAACAGCTCCCTCATGTTGTGGTGACCCCCAAACAATTATTTTCTTTCATAGATTCAATAAATATGTGTTTTTTGATGGTCTTTAGGCGACCCCTGTGAAAGGGGGTCTTTGACCCAAAAAAGGGTTGCGACCTGCAGGTTGAGAACCGCTGCTCTTATGACTGTTCCTACAAGGAGCTGGTTAAGTCTCCTATCTCTGACTCAAAGGCAGCATAGATATGCTTAACCCCACTTTACTCCAGTGTCACATAATTTATCAGAGATCTGTCATTATCCACTAACCTAGTCCATACAGAGTTGATAATATCTGCTCTGTCTATGCTACTTCTCACATGTGTTGGTGCACTGCTTGCCAGTCGGTCCACTCATTTACTAATTTTCAAATCAGTAGGGCCAGGTGAGGGAGGTTAAGCACAATTTATAATAATGGCTTTGCCTAAGCGACATGCTGGTAAGGAACAGTCCCAATCCTGTCAACACTGTGGAACTGAACACCAGAATTTACTGTGTGGGTTCCAGGTCCCCACAAACATATCCAAAGCCACCCTAACAAGAATATTGTAAAAAGGCATCTTATTAGTAATATGTCCTTTTAAGTCAAGTGCATCTGCCGAAAAGGTGAGGAACCAATAGTTTGCATACAAATAAGCCAGATCTGTAAAATGGATGTGCATGCAAAACTCAAGTTTAGTTCAGGAACAAGACTAAATTCCAGAATAACCCAAACTTTCCACCAGAGTTTACAGCAGTGAACACCTTGAAAAACAAAAACACTAAGATATTTTAAGAAAACATACCAGCTGCTAATCTGCCATTACTCCCTCTCCTGAGTCTCCCCCCCCCCCCTCCCAAAGCCCCTACTGCCCATTTGTACTTCTTTTAATTAATGGTTAGGGGGGGGGGGGGGGTGTCTTTGGGCTGAGGGTTTATTACCTCAACATGGCAGTTCTAAGAAACTGAGATCAAAGGTCACTGTAGGATTTTTATTTTTTTTATTTAGGCCCAAGGGGAAGAAGACATTTCATATTTTGTTGTGTTCATTTTGATTGATTTTTATAGGGTTACTGTGGCAAACTGATTAACTTCACTGCCTATTCCTGCTATAGCATGCTAGTTACACCAAGAAAATCTAGAAAACATCTCAACTACCATACCTTTATGTTTGGAGTAGGAAAATGTCTGATTGCTCAACCGAAAGAACCTTTTCTTGAAATTTTTCAGTCCAAATCTTTTCCTCCCTTGTGCACGCTTTATCAAAAAACTGGTGGGGAAAAAATGAGAGTATAAACTATACCTGAAAAATGATTTCAGAATTATCAAGTGCCTTGTCAAGTGGCTAGTAATCTAATCACATTATTCCACAACTGTTGATCTTTGTGGTATAAATTAATTCATAATAAACAATATTTCCATGCTATAAGAACACCAAGGAAAGATTAAAAGTATAATTGTACTGAAAGGAATTAATCACCAAAAACAAGAACTGAGAACGGATTATCCGAATCACAAGTAATCATCAAAACTTTAGGTAAGCCATCAGAAGAGGAAAAATGTGAGTATGATGCAACAACAGAAAAGCTGGAGGGAAAAAAAGGTGGAGGAATATTAAGAGAGTCAATTCTGGACACGCTGGCATAATGGCATGAAACAGCATCTGTAACAGAAATGACTAAAAGTACAAGAGACAGTAGGCGGTGGAGAGACGTAACTATCACTGTCACATAGCATGGACTTTAAGAATGTTGAATTAGGAATCAACATCACAGTACTTGGGATATTCCCATAAGCAATCCATCCCCATATTCAGCAACAAGTGCAGAGTTCCATCTCCGTTGGTACTGAATGTATTTCTATCTCATCTGAGTGTCTGCCATTAAACCCGTGGGTTCTGGGACCCCATTTTGGAGGAAAATAAGAATAAACCCACTGTGCCCCGTAACAATCATGTCGTAAAAGGTGATTAATTAGGGGTGTTGCCTTCAAAGTCAGAGTGCATCTGCCTGAGAGGGAAGGAACCAACAGTTTTCGTACAAAAAGGCCAGATCTGTACATCAGATGTGCGTGCAAAACTCAAGTTCTGGAATACACCAAAGTCCAGAAGTGGACAAACAACCAAAGCTTTCTATCAGAGTTTACAGCTGTTGAATGCTAAGAAAAAAAATATGATACTCAACAGGCTACTAGATGAACAACTAAACTGGTTTGTAACACATTTCTACATCCTTTTGTATCAAAATAAAGACACAGAACAATAAAATACTGCAAATCAACCTACCCTTCTTTGAGAATGATTGGGGCTTCTATACCTTTAAAGATGGGCCCCGAGCTGGATGATATGATGTCTAAAAACTATCAATAAAGAAACAAGACAATAAATATTAGATAACTGTCTACATTATTAAAGCAAGTCAAAAACTGCCTAGTTCCCAAAAACAAATACATACAAAACAGTATTCTGTGTACAAGTCAGTATTCCATGTACAAGACAGGATTCCATGTACAAGACAGTTTGTACAAGACAGGATTCCATGTACAAGACAGTTTTCTATGCACAAGAAAGTATTCTATGCACAAGACAGTATTTTATGTACAAGACAGTATTCTATGTACAAGACAGTATTCTATGTACAAGACAGTATTCTATGTTAAAAACAAAGTAAAATCTTTAAATTACCGAAAATACAAAAAGCATACAGATAGCTTCTATTTTAATGGAATAAGTAAAAAAGGGTGTAGAGGTTTTGAACCACATGCAGTGGTGCACTGGATCAGAGCCCATAGTGGTGAATAATCTCTCTGTGATCATTCTAGAAATAGGTTCCCCAACCAAGGGTGTGGTCAATTTCGATAGGATAAATGTTTCCCCCAAAGTCAGGGTACATCTGCCTGAGAGGTGAGGAATCAAGAATATGCATACAAATACACCATATTTGTACAGATGTGCAAGCAAGACAAGTCCTGGAACAAGACCAAAGTCCAGAAGTGGATGAACAACCAGGACTTTTCATCAGAGCTTACAGCCAGTGAATGCAAGTGTTCAACCTTAAATCTCAAACATAAGGCATTTTTCTGTGTCAATAAAGGAAGCCAAGAACGTTTTAACAAACCAACAATATGTGTCTATTTTTCTCTCTTTTAAAAAAAAAATTTTTAACATGTTTTATATATATAACAAAAACAGTCAACAGGACACATTTCTTTTATTTGTAATTTGTTTAGCATAATTTATATTAACTAAACTATAATGCAGATTCAAATCCTAGACTACAGCTATTCAACTAAGTTTAGCTGAGGGCCAAAATGTTGAAAAACGAGAGACAGTCAGGGGCCAGAGTTGAATAGCCCTGCCCTAGATCTCAGTCTGGCATACAAGCATCTAGCCACTGTGCTACGAGGGTTCCCAATTTATCTGCAGTATGTCATTTTTCAAAAGAAATTGTCTCACAATATTTGAAAAATGTGCAATAATAAGAGCTTACTGTGTACTCGTTTCCATATAGGGAGCCATGACAACACAGTAGCCAGACATCTGCCTGCCAGTCTTCAAGTCTCATGTTCGAATCTGCATTTAGGCAGATTTTTATAAGCTACTCTTTTTAATTTCCAACTGCCAAGGGATTTTTTTAACGTGCCCAACAATGCCCACCGGGGTCCGATCTCACCACCTAGAGACCAGGGAGAATTATTAGAAGTCCAAGTCCATGTGAAAAAAAATCCCATCCCTTACTGGGGATTGAACCCTGAACCTCCAGCACTCGAGGCGGACACCATGCCTCGAGACCATGCAGCCCCCTCCCATCAGTGACTAACAGTAATCAAGAAGCTAAAAAAAAAAAAAAAATTTCTACATTCTTTTTCTGTTTCCCTTCAAAAGGGCTTCTGGCGCATTATGCTGTAGTTTACAGCTGGGCTGCGACACATACATTTTCACCCAAAACATCAAATTTCATAAACTTCTAATTAGTCAGCTGTTTTGACATGTTTGTCAGGAGGCAGTGGGTCAATTTTTTTTTCTTACAAAATGGGGCCCCGGGCCCCAGAACCCACACAGAGTTTATTTTCTACACTCAACAGAGGTAAACAAAACAATTTATCTATACAAAAGCTCATCAAACAACTGAAAGAAATGACCCTGTCAGGAATATACTACTGACCATTTTTATATCAGTCTGAGTTGACTTGGGAAACATCTCAAACAGAGGTGCCATGTACTCTTCCTTCGCTGTAACATTGTTCTGGCAACAAAAACACCAAAACAAATCAGACATGTAAGGTAGTTTTGAACTATGTAAATAAATATAAAACACAAACATTTGGATACAATACCAACAGTCATATTATACTGCTGTGGCTTAGTGAGAATTATGTTGCATGCAGATTTTACACACGTGTGTGTGTGTGGTGTGTGTGGGTGTGCACATGTGTGCGTATGTGTGTGTGTGTATGCACATGTGTGTGCATATGTATGTGTGTAGTGCATGTCTGTGTGCATGTACATATGTGTACATCAAGACAGTTCCATGACAGATTCTGCCATGTCGTCTTAACCCACTTAGGACTGCAGGTGTCACCGGGCTGGTTTAGCCATTGCTGGTGCCCTAACTATAATTTCTTTGGAAGCTGAATGGGTTTTCTGGGATCCATCATGTTGGTATGCCATCCAAACTGCGATTCTTTAATCTCAGGATGGCATAGTAATCCTCTAGGTAGAAACATGGAGATGAAAAATTGACTGATCGATCCTGTGGCAGAGTCTGCCACTGGAGTGTGAAATGTTCGGTCCTCAGGTGTTCCAAGCAACAGTGTATAATGAGGTGGGGTGACCAACTCCCTTTCTTGTCTTCTCTGTATAACAGTCAGAAAATCTTTTCAATTAAGGTACTCATGTTCAGAAGCTGGGTCTACCTCGGGATCTTCATCCATCTCCTCTGGTGGTACATGCCTTGAAGAAGCTTGTTAAACACTAAACATCTATTTCATCACATACAGAAAGTAACAGGTTTATTACACAAAGTGACTTTTATCACACACAGAAAGTTACATGTTAGTTATGCATCCTGATTTTAAGCATACACAGAAAGTAATATGTCCGTTATACACACAGACTTTATTCACACACAAAAAGTAATATGTTTATTACACAAAAGGACTTAAATCACACACAGAAAATAATATGTTAGTTATATGTGCTGATTTTAAGCATATTTAAGCAAACATAGAAAGTAATGTGTCTGCTTTACATACAGACTTTATTCACACATAGAAAGTAATATGCTTGTTATACATACTGATTTTGAGCTGACAAGGGTAACAAGTCCTGAGATGCCTTTAGAGATAAGAGTGAATGTTCTTTGTACAGATGGGTCCTGGGTTGATTAAAAAATAAAATATAACCATGCTTAGAATTTTATAACAACTAAAAAGAAATATACAATCGTAAAGTCGCCTATATTTACAACTTTTTAGGGCAGTGGGGGGGGGGGGGGGGGGGGGGGGGGGGGGAAGGGGGGGAGGGGGGGGTTATCTTGAGCGTGAGGATTTAGGGCCATGTGGGGCTAGAGTGGTCACCCTGATCTTTTCTGCCCCTAACAGAAAAAAATATTCATCCTTTTACCAAAGATTCAAACATGGGTTTCTCAAATAAGAACCCATCATTCTTAACCTCTCGGAAAGTCGGTCCTCTGTTAAGATGTATTCTGGCTAAATGTAAATAACATCACCATTGCACAAACTAATGTAATAGTAATTTAAGCAACAAAATCCTGTTTAACCTATCTGTATTGTATCGTAGAGAAGAAAACAAAAATATCAAGCTTTGTCCTTTTTTAGCAGCCTGGTGGCCTGCTTTCTCAAGGATGGTTCTTTTGCTATCTGATTTGAGTTTGTGTTTCTTTGTGGCCATCATTTTTGCCTAATTTTTCTATTTATTTGTAACATCATGTCGGCGGCATAGGCTTGGTGGTATTTTTCCGGTTTCGGGAATGCAACTGGCAGCCCTGAAAAGGACTGCCATTTTTGTCTGGGGTGGCCTGGAACGGAAAGGGCAGGGTCCTTCCATGTTATGACTGGGGTTTATAGCGCTTGTTCTATTTAAAAAATGGATATTTATGCCTATTGTTATGTATTGTTATTCTTCTTCTTTTCCTTCATCCTTATGATGTGATTGCACTGTGCCTGTTTATACCAAAGCTGCGATATTTGCCCTTTTGACTGACACATCCGACTTCATCAAGCATTTTTTAACTGGGTTAACTTCCCAGATAGTTTCATGGAAAATTATGCAGCCTTATATGTGAGCTGTTTTCTTTGTCACCGCTATCTTCAGGTGCTGCCCCTGGGGAACCCGCATGTAGACTGGTCGGCATTCATTCCATCCATCCGTTTATGAAAAAAAAAATATCGACCATGTTCAACCTACTGTTAGCAGTATCAGTTATAATTGTGGCCTGGTTTCTTTGTGCTAATCATATTGTCTAAGAAATGTTAATTGCACCAAAAGTAGTGGCTTGGAGTAGTACTCTAGTACATAGTGAGGGTAGATGGGTTAAAGATGGAGGTGGGTGAGTAGGTGGGGGGTTGGTATGCACTATACATATCCACACACACATATATATAGACATACATGTAAAATGGGAATGCATGTATACGTGTTTGCCCACACACACATATACACACACATGTGTGCACACTGACCTGAGAATGCATGTATACGTGTCTGCATACACAGACATCTACATGTATATACACACAAACACTCAAGGGAGCCGCTGTGGTGTAGCAGCCAGACGCTCGCCTGTGAACTGGAAGGTCATGTGTTCAGATTCCGAAGGAGCCGGACTTTTTTTTAAATGGAATATTTGATGTAACTCATCAGCTGCATACTACAGTAACAAATAAATTTACTGTAAAGGATTAGGCATACGCTAATCAGCATCACAAATGCTGATGGTGATGATGATGATGATTCATTTATGTCTTTAAAGTTTCCATTGTTTCCAAACTTCTACATATCCACGAGTCCTATATTAGTATAGACACCTTACAAGATGACCTACTTACAAGAATGTCTGAATATAAATCAAACAGGTTTGGTCCCATGATGGCTGCAGTGAAAAACCGCAGAAAGATGAAACTAGTCACGGCATGGTAGCGAACAGCTGTGTTATCTGAAAGCAGAATTAACATTAATAATTATTTCACCAGAATAAAAGTGGTCTTTGAAAGACAGGCTTTTAACCAGCTAACAAAAGGTTCTTGTTTTATATATATATATACTAGCTGTACCTGGCCACGCGTTGCTGTGGCCCAGAATGGTGAAATGGAGAGGAAAGAAAATAGCTCTCAGCTAACAGTGTCTGTCATATCCCCCCTCTCCCCTCGACCCAGTCATATCACCCTCTCCAAAGGATTGAAAATCATCCAAGGTGAAAGTATTAAAATAGAAATAGTTAAGAAATGAGAACACTGAAATAATATTTTAAGCTCTCTCAGCTAACTGTGTTTGACATAAACCCCCCCCCCCCCCCTTTTCCCCAACCCTTTTCCAACAATCATATCTCCCTCTCTGAAGGATTGAAAAATCATCACCTAGCAAAATTATAAAAATAGAAAAAGTTAAGAAATTAGAACTTTAAAATAATATTTTAAGCTCTCTCAGCTAAATGTGACTGGCATAACCCCCCCCCCCCCCTCTTCCCCTAATCATGTCATCCTCTCCAAAGGATGGGAAAGTCACCATGTGATGAAATATAACTAAATTGAGCTTGGCATCCATGTCCCAGACTTAAATAGGTAGCATTAACTTGTACTGAGAAGTCAATGTGGCCAGTGTAACAGCTACCACATCACCCATCCAGTACCAGTACTACTGCAACCACTACCACCACCACCATCACAACAACTGTCACTACAGTCTGTGTAGGTTGGTGTAGAAAAGAGGAGTTAGCGCTGCATGCTGTCGCCACGGAATATTTAGTTTAGTTTTGCACCCGACATAGTAAAAAAAAAACTTCATCACGTAACCAGTGATGGAACCCACAGTAAAAAGTACACTATACTCACGAATAGCGGAGAAAAATACCTCACACCCGTCATTTCTCCCTCTCCTAAGGAAAGATTTTTAACTGACATTGGCATCCGTGTCCACCCAAACTAAACTGGACTGTAAGCCGTCTTAGTTAACAGTTTCTGTGATCGCCTAATAGTTTTTGATCGAGAAGCGTCGCGGGGAGGCTAATTAGGACTTAACTGAAATTGGAGGTCTTTGGGCGAAAGGCGCAGATATCGCAACCTAGCTGTAACCCACAACACAACGTGGCAACCACCCTTTTAAGGGAAAAAGAACAATTATCACCCAGCGGGGAATCAAACACCGGTCACCCCCGTGAAGGATGGAATACTTACAACTATACTACCAAAGACTGAAGAGTTTAGGTCAGATATCGCAACCTAGCTGTAAACCATAACACAACATGCCAACGGCCCTCTCAAGGGCGAACGAAGATTACCTGTGACATGACCATTGAGCATCACGTCGCCGCTGTCGCAGGCTAGCTGTAAACCCCAAAAACCGAAAAAAGGCGTAGATATCGCAACCCAGCCATAAACCACAACACAACGTGCCAGCCGCCCAGTTAAGGGCTAAAAAAAAAAATTATATTACCTAGCGGGGAATCAAACACAGGTCACTCACATGATAGGTGGAATAGTTATAAGTACGCTACCAAACACTCAAGCAGAAAGTGGAAATGAAATTATATAGTATTGCAAAGTTCAATAAGAGCTCAGCAGTCAAAAATAGCCAATCAACTAAAAACAAATCTGGACCGGCAACGAAACAAATCATGATTTCGGTAGGGTGAAGTGATCAGCATCACGTCGGTGGCCTTTACTTCCCAGAACTTCACCTAGTAACTATTTTAGGCTGGGTCAAACTGGGTGCCTAGGTCTTTTTTTTTTTTTTTTTTACTGACTTGATGAGGATTTTAACCCATGACCTATGGGCCTGGGGCAAGTATCTAGCCATTACACCATGGTGGCTCTTCATTGTGGAAACAACACACTTATTTATTTTTTGATAACAGAAGAGCACTTTCAGAGTGCAGCTGACAAAAATATGACCAACAAACACAGCAATTACCTGGATAATTGAGCATAGCCTGAGACTTGAGTGTTGAGAACACATCTCGCATGACAGGTGGACATATGAGACCTGAACTTACAATAGTGTTAACAGCATCCCTGACATAAGTAAACAGATTGCCCTGTGAATTTAAGCAAGATAAATATTCACTCATTCTGTCTTGTCTTCCTCTATCTTAAATTACTGGTACCTTACAGCCTTGTTTAAACCTTCTTCTATTACCCCTAGGTTGTATAAGTACCACATTGCCATGTTTAGCCAATTCTTCTTTTAACTTGGGATGTAGAGGTATCTTACAGTCCAGCTTGGTTAGGGAATTTGTAGAGGTCAAAAGAAATTAAAACCAATACTAAACTTAGAATTTTTAATGCTAATATCAAATGAGTACTGTTGTATGGAGCTGAAATATGGAAAATAACTAAGGCAACTACTAATAAACTACAAACATTCATTAACTGGTGCCTGTGCACAAAAAAGGGAATTAAATAGTTTGATAGAATCACTAATGTAGAACTTTGAGAGAGAACTAAACAAGTTCCAGTGCACCAAGAGGTGAAGAAAAGATGCTAGCACTGAGCAGGACACACACTGAGAAAACCTGAGAACAATATAACTAAAATGTCTTTCTAGTGGAACCCACAGAGGCACCAAAATAAAGGAAAACCAAAAAAAAAAAAAAACACATGTAGAAGGAAGCTAAAGAGTGAAGTTAAAAAGATGGTGAGGACATAGGGAGAGCTGCATGCGATAGCAAAGGATAGAATTGAGCAATTTAGGCTCTGGTACCCATTCCTCACCAGGGGAGATGTCAATTATGAAAGCCAGCATTGCACATGCAATACTGCATTAGTACACACCATTCCGAAAGTAACTGGCCATATTAGGTACCACCACAATAGAAAACAAAATTCCACACAAAATATACAGCTTACTGAGTCAAATCAATCACTCAAGGCAGTAAATGGGTGACATAACCTTTGCACTCCAAGTCCAGAAATGGGAAATTCGCATCAGTAAACTATGACTAGAAACAATTAATTTTTTTTTTACAGCGTTAATGGCAAGCTGGCTATCTGCCATACTGGACCGGAAGTGAATGATGATGATGAGAAAGAGAAGGTGGAGGAGAGCAAACTGTTATGTAACCTCAGATTGTCAAATATCAACTCAGAAAATGACAGAGGTTCGTAAAGCTAACAGATATCACATAACACATAAGAGCAGTTTGTCATCTTATTTTGGTCATAACTTGTAATATTGTATGCATGTTTTGTGTGCTGATATTTTTATGTTGCTTAAATAACATGTCTTCATTTTTGGAATTTTTAAAATTATTTTTAAAAAATGTCTACATCATGTTACAGTTCACTTCTCACTTCACAATGCACATGAAAGTCAGGAACTAATTTTACGTCTTGTACATCAAAGGGATAATGTTTCAGTCACAAACGTAAAACAACATCCAAATCACACATCTCCACATTTTGTTTAGTCTTTCTTCTGTTTATTCCTTTCCAGGCTGCTACATGAAGGTCTGACCACCCTGAAGTTTTTAAAAATCTCAATATGGATGGCAGGCTAAGAGGGCAGATCCGATACCCCATTCAACCTCCAAGAAAGTTTAATCCGGGCACCCTAATTGCTAAACTAGCTGTGTGGAACCTGGAGAGGAACATGCATGCATAAATACATGAATGCATGCATGCGGAACACAGAGCCTAAGCAGTTGAAAAATGGAAAGATATCAGAGAAACTATATAATGATTGATGTGTCTATGGTTGAGCTAGCTAAAAGCAAGAAAGAGAAGTGAAGAAGGTGCAGAAGACTGTTAGGAATTGAACTGAATCTATTTTCTTGGAAGATAAATGCACAAATGACCCTGTTTTTGCAGCTTACAAAGAACTAATCTAATAATTTGCTGGGGCAGGAGGAAAAGTAACATGTCAGGCAGAAAATGTTAACTGGTTTGATTCTGTGCCCAACAGAACTGACTGGTATTTGTGGAAGAAAGCAGTGTCACTCACCAGGTCTGTTTCTGCATCTTCCCCATCTCTTAAACGTGAAGGATCAATCTCACAGGGTTTGGCCTCATTTACAACCTGGCAACGTAAAAAAACAAATGATTTATCATGACATGTTAACACTGTAACTTACACTTTTTCCTCATTTGCTCTGGGGTTTTTGGCAGCAGGTTACTGTGCTCCTTACTGGCAATACAGAACATGTATATTATAATTTTTACCATGCATACTGTGAGAGGAGAAATACAGATATTGTAAAAGATCTTAACATAAGGAAAATGGCTCATAAACAGAATCTTTCTTGGAAAATGAAATATTTTGGCCATTTCAAATGTCATAATGGCTGGGAAAGAACAGTAATGGAGAGCATGGTACCTGGTAAAAATGGGCAGGAAGTCTATTCTTGCCACCTTGAAACCGTCACTTTGAGACACTGTGTTGGTCGGCTCTGATTCATCGCATGCTTAACACTCTTGACATCTTTAACAACGAAACTGACAGGATACAAGACAACAGCATCATTACTGTAATTTTTACCACACTTTTGAGGTTTTCCTTTGAAGCCCCTCGTATATCAAATAAAGTACTGGTCAGTGGGTAGTACAGTGATTAGATATGATCCCCTGCTGTGTCAAAGTTTTTGGGTTCAAACCCACACTCAGTCATATTATAATTTGTTTAGCTTAATGACCTCAACTCTCAAGTTGACCCAACCTAAAATAAGTACAAGGTAATGTCCTGGGAAGTAAAGGTGGCAGGCATGCTATTGACCACATCACCCATCGAGGGCCGACTGGTCTACAAAAATATGAGTCTGGCATCATATGCCTGATTTGACAGAGGTGTGAAAAAGGTCTTTTAGATTACCTTTGATTGTTGAATGTTGAATTAGGAATCGACATCCCAGCACTCAGGACACTCCCAGAAGCGCTCCATCCCCATCTTCAGCAACAAGCAAAGAGCTCCAACTCCGATGGTCTCGTTTTTCTCTTGAGTGCTGAGCATTGGGCAGATCCCCTGGTAAAACCCCACAGCGCCATTCTCCTCAGACCGTAATGATCCATTATTGGTCAATGACTTATAAGATAAAAGCAACCACAGCCTCTTACCTGATCTATAAAAGACTTGAGTGTGTCCTGCAAATAAGGCATGCCCACAGTCTTCATCAGCTCATCGACCATCTTGGTCAGCAAACTGTTGCCTCGAAACAATGTGTTTGGATCACTGAGTAAGAAACAGTCAGCACATAAGGTTTGATGATCATAAGCAAGATGATCAAAATGAAGTAAAATCTTGTTTACACAAATTCCAAGGGACCGACAAATCAAGAGTTTGAGTTAACAATATTCATACTAACTGGGGACTAATAAATTCTTAGGAATAATACATCTCTGCTGGGACCAACATTTTGTTCATGTTAACCGAGTGTTAGTCTTAACTCTTTGAGTCCCAGGGGGTTTAGCATCACAGGCCCAAGGGGTAGTCAAGAGAGACGTAAAATCGGCGCATCATGCGTTCATTGGGCCTCTAGGTAGGAATCTATGAACGTATAATGCATTTCTTGGGACTCAAAGAGTTAAGTTTGTGTTAATGAGGTTTTACTGTAATATGATAGCATCAATGGAAAAGATGGATCAACAACATTAAAGACACTTAAGACTTTTAAGCACGACAATAGTCAGAGGCAGTCAGCGTGCACTGGATCGCAAATTATTCCTCCCCAGGGCGCTTAACAGCAGAAGAGGTTCATGATGATGATGATAACAGTAATAAAATTAGACTATTGATGTTGGCAATGCAGACAAAGCTGAAGAAGGCAATAACAAAGAATAGCAGTATGCTGGCAAAATAATGATGTTGGCAATGCAGACAATATTTTATTAATGACTGTAATAACAAAGAGGCACAGGAATAGACAGGGTTGTGAATAGCAGCATTAGAGAGAAAGTTGGAATAAGACCTTGTCTGCATTATCCTGACAGACAAAGATTGGAATGGTTCGACAATCTAGTGAGAATGCAGTCAGACCCAAACTGCATATGAGACTTTTTACAGCAGAACATCTGGGACGTAGGCAAGAGGAAAACCAAGAAAGAGACGGATAATTGATGTAGCCCAAATCAGCCAAAAAATTAACACATCCATCCCACAAGCCGCCTAAGAAGAGCAGAAAGCCACCACACTGGGCTAGTGGTGAGTTCTTCTTCTTCTTCTTCTTCGTTCACCGGCTGTGAATTCTGGTGGAAGGTCAGGGTTAATTGTCCGCTTGGACTTTTGGCTTTTACCTGGACCTGAGTTTTGCGTGTACAACCGTTTTGTTGTTCCCTGCCTCATGGGCAGCTGTACTCCGAATTTGAGGGAAGACATCAGGCCTATTTCTAGGATGACAGTGGCCATTGTTTTGTGTGGGTCGAGACGCTGCCTGACTTTTTTGGTGTCCACTTTGTCTCAATCTCCACAGGTATGCCCCCGGAGTACCCCTTTGGGGCAGCCCCCTGCGGAACGGTTGGCCCTCAAGGGAAGGCAGGGGCAGATCATGGGCATTCCCCGCCATCCAAGGAGGCTTCCATGTATGCTGAGCCGGCACATGGCACTCTGGTTCTGGACTCACCCAAGGAATCGTCACGTCCTGCACATGCCTGCTTAACCTCACAACCGTATCAGGCCTCCCGCTTGACAAGGGCTGCGCCCTCTGGAAGTCAGCGGGGAGCAGCCCGCGAATTCTGGACTTTTGTGACCACCCAAATAGGTACATTCTTTTTCTTCGCATGTTAGGTATCTTTGACGAGCCGTTAGCCCGACAAAATTTAACATCCTGCGTCAGGCATATCGTTATCTGTTTGGTCCCAACACTCGGGCGAGTGGGGTCTTTGGGTGTGTACATTTGGACTTTTTCCGTTCAATACGATTTGTGTTGGTCAGATTTTGAGCTTACTCGTGTCTCGTAGGTTCTAGTTTTGTTGGATATTTAGGCTTGGCCAGCCCTTGGTGGTTGCTGTCTTGGTGTACCTCAGCGCGGTGACGACGACACTGAGGATTAACAGAGGATGTACAAGGGTAGAATCTTGCTGCGGGACGCCACCCACAGGAGATGTTACTCGTCTGTGCTGCGGGTAAATCTCTAGGTCAAGGGTTGAGTCTCAGCAGAACAATGTTCTCTTCACTCCTCAATCTTTTAACCGAGGGTTGTAATTTTAGTTGTACATTTGGCAAGCACTTTACTCATGTTCCTAATGAGTTTTGATAACCTTTTTCTCCCATGCGTTTGGGGGCGGGCTGATGAGAGCCACAAGGACACATCACCTCTGGGGGCCGCCAAACTCCGAGATCCCCTGACAGCTCTGTTAATGCTCATTTGAGACATTTTCCGTGGCGCACGACGAGGACGTGCTGCAGGGGTCTTGCGTGAGGTTCTGTACAACCAGAACAGTGAAGGACTGGCGCCCGAGTGACGTACGGAGTATCTCCTTATACACATCATGTTGGACTTGACTTTCCCTCACGCCTGTGACATAAATCACCGCGCCACTAGTGGTTAGTGATTAGAAAGGATTATCATCACAGCTCTCCGGACAGATCCATAGATGCTCCGATCTCCTCCTCAAAAGCTCCACAAGTGTGAAACGACTGATGATGCCTGTTCTATGTTGGTTAATGAAACATCTTGTCCTCTTAGTGAAATGTTCATTTCTTGCAGCTCCAGGCTGCACCCCCATGTCCATCAGTCTAGACAGGGATATGGAGTCATGTCCTTTGGCGTGCTCCTTGGTACGGTAAGTGAAGCATGGTACTGATAAAATCACTTCTGTCCAGTACTGGGCCAGCCATAGCAACTGCAGTGTCAGCAAGATAGTCTGCACGCTCGTTCCCTTGAACACCCGCATGACCTGGCACAAAGATGAAGGTTAGGGCAGATATTCGTGAAGTGCTTAGTATTTCAATCCATTCTTGCCTGATAAATCCAGCTTGGATTTTTTTAAGCATATTCATCGAGTCACTAAGAAAGCACACTGGGCTACAACCTGGTATCAGTGAGACAATAAAAAGAAGAAGATGAATAACAATGATGGGGAAAAAAGATGAAGCTGACAATGCAGATGACACCAATAAACAAATAAACAAAGAATAGCAGTAAAATAAAATTTCTGATGCAGTGTTTCAAATGTAACCACATGTACATTCATGTGTTCACTCAGCACTCTCTATAACACAAAGTGCCAGTGTCACAAAGCTAAAAACACATAGGTTAAGGTATTTCACACATCACTGAGCTGACCTTCTTTAAGTAAAGCAAAAGTAAAAGACCTTTTCATGAGGCTTACTGGGTATAGCTTCTTCTTCTTAGCATTCACATGTTGTAAACTCAGGTGGAAGATCCACTTCAGGTCATGTTCCAGAATTTGAGTTGCATGTTTACATCCGTTTTACAGATCTGACTTATTTATATGCAGACTGTTGGTACCTTGACTTTCAGGCAGATGCGCTCCAACTTCAAAGGATACACCCCTACTTAGTTGCCTTGAATGAAGTGCTTGTTGGGTGGGAGGGGGCAGTTGGTCTTTTCTTTCCACATGGAACCTGCAACCCACTCTTGGATTACTGGGTATATGGTGCCAGTCGGACTTTAAAATATATATATATTGTGCCGTCTCCACAATGGAGGTTGACTGCAATGTATTCTCCACTGCTAACTATGGGAATATTACAGGGTGAGGTCCCAATCTCTTCCATGGTGTGACTCTCACACCATAGGCTGAAAGCCATGAAACAAGTCTTTTTTCTAAACCACCCCTGCGGATTGAACCCTGGTAAACGAGGAAGACTGCACTGTGCAATAATTTCCCTCTCCTCTAAGTCAGAGGGCCACACACATTTGTTTATACTCAACAGATGATGTGACTGCTGACTACCGTTAACAGCTCAGAATCTTTCTTGGTTACTATTTTAGGCTGCATTGAACTAAAACCGAAGGACAACTGTTGTTTTTTAATTCCTTTTATTAGCCACTGTTCTACTGCAGCTCTCAAACCAGGTAGTTTAAGATAACAGTATTTCAATATCATACGGTAGTGATTTTAGAGTCCACTGAGAGAGAGAGAGAGAGAGAGAGAGAGAGAGGGAGGGAGAGAGAGAGGGAGGGAGGGAGAGAGAGAGGGAGGAAGAGAGAGAGAGAGAGGAAGAGAGAGAGAGAGAGAGAGACAGAGACAGAAAAAGAGGGGGAGAGGGAGAGGGAAAGAGGGAAAGAGATATTATGCGTGCATGCATTTTTTTTCTTGTCATTGTTCTGCTGACGAAAGCTAATTACCGCCACATCTACTGTTTGTTCATTATTACTGGTTCTGTAAAGCTAATTCATTATGTTTTCTCAAAAAAAATTTTAGCTGACTTTTATGACACGCTGGTTGGGGGGGGGTTTAGCCTATTCTCTTTTTTTTTCCCCAAAATGTGACCCTGCAACCGACACTAGGAATGACAAACGATTCAATTTAGTGATACATGTTTCTAAGATACAAGCGTAGAAAAGTACAAAATCAAACACTCTCTCACATGGTGCAGGACATCTCCCAGTCTGCCAGGGCATGCACGAGAGGCACCAGCTTGCCATGATGTAGGAACAGTTTGACCAGAGGCTGGGCGGCATTCTCTCTGACTGCATTCTCTCTATGGCTAACTATTTCACCCAGGATGAAAACTGCACTTGATGTAAATGGCTGCAAAAACAGATGCATTGCTTTAAAACATCATTTTATAAGTTTACATCTGATTTCACTAGTTTTTTTGTTTATTTTTCCCAGTACTTTTCATTTGCTACAGCAACAGTTTTATTGGAGTAAAGGAGAGAGATAATGAGTAAAAGAGAAAGAAATAAACAAAGAAGTGAGAAGGGGAGGGGGAGCACATTTACATGCATATTTTTTATGTGTACTTATACAACAGAATAGCCATGGAGGGTTTTCATAATTCAAGTTGCTGTGTATTTACATTTACAGACACAAAGGACAAAAAAGACTCTCTGTGTATTCTTACAGAAAGTTGTCACCAGTAGAAGCAAAACATATGCTATAAAATGTGAAATTACTGGCAAATTGCTGAAGTCAATAAAAATGTTATTTAGGTAACACACAGATAAATTAATTAAGCCAAACAAGTAACATATTTGGACAGAAATATTAACACACACAAGCAGACAGAAATATTAATTAAGTCAGACATAGAAATGTTAAGTCAAACTGGAAGATAAGAAATGTTAAGTCAAAAAAGTAACACTAGGCAGACAGAAATGTCAAGTCAAACAAGTAGACAGAAATGTTAGTCAAACAAGTAATACGCAAGTCAACAGAAATGTGAAGTCAAACAAGTAACACCCAGTTGAAAGGAAATGTTAAGTCTAAGATAAGACATAAGATGATAGAAATGTTAAATCAAACAAGTAGTACCCAGATGATAGAAAAGTTAAATCAAACAAGTAATACACAAGTCGATAAGTTGATAGAAATGTTAAATCAAAAAGTGTAATAGTCGACAGAAATATTAAATCTAAAAAGGTAATACACAAGTAGATTCGTATATATCTTAAGTTAAAAAAAAAGTAACACACATACAGAAAGAAAGAAAAAGACAACTCTTAATATAAAAGACTCACTTTAGTTTCAGCTGACTCAAGAACAAGGTTGCGCAGCCCATCATAGTACTTTGAAGGAAACACGTAGTCTGCTGTGTAACAGATTCTCAGACGAATAGAGCCCAGAGACTGGTCAGTGGTTCTGTTCTGTTCTTTGGCCTGTAGGCAATACCTGAATACAGTAAAGGCAAAGGTAATCCCATGGCCATTACTGCCATAGGAATATGAAGAGGCAGGGCTTCACAAATACAACATTACAATCTGTGTTCCCTAATTCCTAAGGAAAATGTTGAGCATAAAATGGGATGAATTCAGGAGTGGTAAAAAAAAATTAATGACTGAGCAACCAGTGGTAACAATAGTTATAAGACAAAGAAGATAGCACTATGTTGGACACATCCTAAGAAAACAAAACAGCAGAGAATTACTAAACAGATACTAAAATAGGAGATAAAGAAGTGAACCAGCATCATTGCACACAGTTATAAACCATAAGTGCTCTGCCACCAGTACGGACAGCTGATAAGAAACTGTCCACCTGTGTCACCGTCCGCACAGAACTCTGTAGCTACAGCGACGTTCCTCCATTGATCCCAGAGTGTTAACTCTGATACCCATTACCTAGAGACTGGGTGAACCCCGGGAACCTCCCGGTTTCAAACACCGGCTGTGGGCTGCAGCGAGTTCTAGCTGGATTTGAAAGCGAGTCTCCTATCAACTGCACTAACGTGGCTCCCGAGTTATGATGTCCAAAAGAAACTCTAAAATGAATGTTGATGAGAGAGGCCAAAGTACTCGACTGGATTCCATTCATGATATCAAAAAGATTGCACAGGATAAAACAGAATGAATAAATAGACTGTGAGCTCTGTATCGCATATAATCGCACAATAGGACAATGATGATGATGATGATTATGGTGATAATGATGAATGTGGGGTCCACTTCCTCCCCTTGACATTTCTTTCCCCAAGAAACTGCAAGGTACATGAGCCCAGGTCGGCCCCTTGGAGCTATTCGCTGTGGGAAAAACATTCAATGTCTTGTCAGGATTGAACATAGAATGCTGTGCAGATAAGCCAATCTACATTTACTAAGCTAGCTAGCATTTCCATGAATAAAAGCAGGAAGAGGGGGTGGGGTGGGGTGGGGGTGGGGTGCGGAAAGGGGGGGGGGGGGGCTTTGCCTTGATTAGAGTGAAGAAAATGATCATGCAGGCAGGCACACACTCACACACTCAAGAGGCCAGAGAGACAAGATGAGCCAACACAAGTTACAATCAGGCAATTTCTATATTTGCCTATTGAGATCGCCTCACCCTTACACCATGTGCAACTTTCGCACCCTGAAACTTTTTGTCCTTCCAGAGTTGAATTAAGAATTGACATTATAGCACTTGGGACTTTATGTACTTCCAGAGTTATACTGTGCTACACTTAGGCATAAGAACTGCTGCCTATGACGATGGTGAGTGTGGGCAGCAAGATCCCCTCACATTAAGACTGCATACCTATAGGAAAGGGGCTGAGTGGTTTTGAGGTATGGCATCCGCCACCAGTCCTGGAGGTTCCTGGTTCAAACCCCGGTGATGGCTGGAATTTTTCACATAGACTTCTAGTAATTTCCCCTGGTCTCTGGGTAGTAACATCGGACACCCATGTGTATTGTGAGCTGTTAAAAAATACCTTGGCAGTTAGAAATCGAAAAAGAGTAGCCTAACGGTGCTGCCAGGCAAAATTTGGAGTTTAAAATCTACCTAAAGTATTTCAGGATTCTCGCTGGTGCATTGGAGTTTGTGTAATGCACGAGATTCTTCAGATTCAGGCTTGAGTTAGAAGTAGAACGGAGCACTTATAGGTAACACCCATGTGCCATGATGTTGATCCGTTGAATAAACCAATAAACCTATAGGAAGAATAAGACCATGCCATCTTTGGCAGCAGGCTGGTGTGCTAGTGCTCGGTCATGGAGACACCAGTTAGTTAGTCAACAAATTACCAGTTAGTTAGTCAACAAATTACCAGTTAGTTAGTCAACAAATTACCAGTTAGTTAGTCAACACATTATCTCCACTGCACATCGAACCATTTGGTCCATAAGTGCTTGGATACCTTCCTCAGTAATACCGCAGCGTGCAGCTGCTGACAACATCAGTTCTGTGTTGGTGGTTTCTTATTCTTCATTGGCTTCATGCTCTTGTCCAGCCACACCTCTTTTAACCTGCTGTCCTTGCAGTCTAGGCATGCTTGCAGATTCACAGTCACTTTGTTCTTGCCAACGTCATACTTCTCGTAGGACATTCAGTTTATCAGCCAGATCCATGACTTATCTGTCCACCCTTTACAGTAGCCTTACCTGCAAGCTTATCAGCTTGCTCTTTTCTTGCCCACCTGCATGCCCTGACAGGAAAATGAAACACCGAGACACAACCAGTGGCTAAGAAATACTGTCACTTACCATGCCTTGTGAGGTCGAGAAATATCCAAGTCATGTATTGGGATCTTAACTTCACCGAGAAAAGCACCTTTGAATATATTTCCTAGGACTTCACGTGACACTTTGGAGTCATCATGAAATAAAGAAACACTGGAGATGATAAAACATTTCATTTTTAGCTGGAAAAGGCTGAGCTAAACATTTGTAAATATACTACTAAATATATTTCATGGACAGAATTTGATTGACTATATTTAGGTAAGCAATTATTGAGAAATGTTGCTGTAAACATTTGTTGGGAAATACTGAGGTAAACATTTGTTGGCAAATACTGTTGGCAAAAACATCTGTTCTTCTTCTGTGTTCCCCTTTAAAAGGGCAGTGGACACGCAGACAGACTCTTGAAATCTGTGCCTTTTCGTCCATCACATCAAATTTCTACAAACCCCCAACTTGTCACCATTCATAACATGCTTGTTAAAAGGTCATAGGTCTATTCCACAAATCTAACCTCCCCTCCACTTTCCGCCCCCAAATGGGACCCTGGAACCCATATGGAAATATTTACAATAATATTCTATATAATAGACTGTAGCAATTAGTGCCTTCATCTTTTTAAACGCTTGTCTGAATTCAGTACCCAGCAACATTTAATGGGAAATATTTAGAATGATTTATTGGCACCTTTCCGTCTTTCCAGATGGTGGTGTTATACTGCGCTATGAGGAGGCATGGGACTCACAGCCTATGACGATGGCGAGTGTGACCAGCAAGACACGCCGGTGTCAATTACAGCCAGGGATGAAGTTCATCCTCTTCATAGCACAAAGCCTGGGCAGTATTATAGAGACCATGCATCATGATCTCTCCCTGGACCTGCCTTGTTTACTCCAAAAGAAAGGTAAGACCAGTATGTTAAGAACAAAGCAGGCTGCAGAAGCTGCCGGATCAGAAGAGCAGTGCTCTATCTATCCGCCTGTCGGAGCTTCCCTCATAGACCAGCTGCCAGCCAAGGCTAAGGACCTGGTCTGCCCTGCCATAACATAAAGTTTTCAGGTTGCATTTCATCTTCCTAGGATAAGGCTAGTATCCTCCTCAATGCGCTCCTCCAGCCGAAGCCATTGACACAATATGGGATGTCAGGTTTAGTCTACGCTGCCCAACAATTGGCGTAACAGAAGATAGGTGGTAACGGCTACTGTTATAGGGTAGCTCAGTCATATCTGACCAAGACCTGATGGTGCTTTATTAAATCTTATCCCAAATGGAGGAAATCCACAAGTCACGGGACAGTCTAATATTTCACGGGGTGGTAGATTGGCTGCATGCAGTCGTGGGACCTAGGCTGTATGCAGTCATGGGACCTAGGCTGCACTCTCTTGTGGGACGTAGGCGGGTTAGAGTTAGGGCCAATTCTAGATATTTTGGGGTCGTTAACCCAGTCTTACCATCCTCTGTGACGTCATCGGGGGTAGGATATTAATAAAGCACCGACCTGACAAATGGGAAATATTGAGAGTAATATTATATATAATAGACCAAAGTAGTATTGTGGGTAGTGCTTTAATCTAATAAGACACTGGAATAAATTCAATCCCCAGCCCAAGCAGGATAATTATATTTTTAGCCTCACAAAAAATGGGCAGCATGCACTTTAAAAATTGGGGGGGGGGGGGGGGGGGGGGAGAGAAAAGGCAACAAGGAAGAGAGCTGACCACCCACCTCATTAGTTAGACCAGGCCTAACATTTCACATCCAAGAAGCAGTATCTATGCGACAGATTAGGCATTTAATGCTCATTATCATCAGGTATGACCCAGAAGCTTTTAGGTTAGAGAATGCAGCTAAAAATTTCATGATCCTTGCATGCAGGATTCATTTCCTGCGGCAGAAGTTAAAAAAAAAACACACATTCTTTGTGGTGTTCAGACAACGGTACAAAAGTCACTCTTTAGAAGAGCTTGAGTTTCACCATGTAATATTCCAACAGCCGTACACTTTAGCGAACTTACAACGTGGAGAAGGCAAAGAATTATTTTTTTAATCATCACGCAGCAGGTCTGTTGCAGAACCTGCCTCTCATCACTGTATGCTTAAAAGCTATCTGGTCCATCATCAACTGCCCCACCTCATAAACTTTTACACCCCCCCCCCTCCCCCCCGGTGTCCTTGATATCTTGCATCCACTGTTGTGCTGACTGGCCCTTGCCTCTTCTTTCAGAAACCATACTCTCCATTTCTGTTCTCTCTCATATGATAAACATATGTTTATAGACCAATCGGCACTTGATGGGTGATGCAGTCAACATCACACTAGTCATTTTTACTTCCTATAGTATTTCTTGACAGCTAATTTATGCTGGGTCAACCTAGCCACTCATCATCATTATCATCATCCCATAACACTACATGTCATTGGGTCATCAGTTTCTGCTAGCTGTCTGATCAGCTCTCTCCACCTTTGGCGGTCAGTTGCGATGGACTTCATGGTTGCATGCCTGAGGTCTGTCCAGTCAGTCAGGTTCTGTAACCAGGTCTTTCTTGGTCTCCCTCTTCTCCTCTTTCCCTCTACTGAGCCCTGCAGTACTGTTTTTTAGAGGCCGTTACATGTCCATACCACTGCATTTTTCGCCTTTTCATTGTAGTTAAAAAAGGTTCATAGTTGCCAATGTGTTGTATAATTTTATGGTGAACCTCTTGGTTTGTAATGTGGTCTCTGTATGATATGCTAAGAATTTCTAATGCTTGTATCTTTCTTTCAAGTTTAGCTGTTAAGGTCCACGTTTCACAGCCACTCATCTATATATATAAAAATCCATGTTTGTGTGTTTGTTTATGAGCTATAGACTCAGAAACTACTGAACCGATTTAGCTGACATTTTCAGGATATGTTTGTTTTGATACCAGAATTTTACCCATCATGTTTGAAATTCTACCTGTCATTGTTTGAGATAGTTGACGACATTTGTTGGAAAAATCTTCGAAACTAATATTTCCATTTTAGTGACATTTAATTAAAGCCACGTTCGTAAATGCGCATGCGCAGTAGTCGAAAAAAACGCAAGACCCACCATTCCCTGGCGAGATACGTACAGCCAACGCCTTCTCTGATAAATAGAGTAGGCCGTGGTACAGCAAACAAAACTATCTCTATATTTGTGCAAGCCATGATTGCGACAATAACTACATTAGATATGATTTGTATTTTCTGTCTTTTCAAACAACCTTCTATGAGTTGGAGAGTAGCCGATGGATTTGAAAGGGGGGGGGGGGCATCAAGAACTATCTCGTCATCTGCGCAGACAATGATTGTGACATTAACCGTGTTAGTCACGTGCGATGTCTATTGCTGTGCCGTTTCAATAATATATCTGGAATATCTGTCTATGAGAAAACAATTGCCTGCGGTTTTGAGTTGTGTTATAATTGGGACACTATAGTAGGGACACACATCTCAAATAGTTTTGTTCTCCTTTCGTTGTGGAGTGGTTGCTTGGCTGAATGGTTAGAACACTGGGTTCCCGTGCGGGAGACCAGGGTTCGAATAAGCAGTACAGTTTTGTTTTTTACCCCGGGGCCAAAAAAAAAATCCTCACCTGCACTGTCGTGGCGACAGCACTAGCCATGTGGCCCTTTATACTAAAAAAAAAAAAAAAAAGTACAGATATGTGGGTAAACCAGTTGATAATTAAATCTGACCATTTCGCATACTTATGATTTCAATTCAAACTTTCCGATTGCATGGTTACGCTGAATTTTCATAGATTTCCATTTATTTTCATTTAGATTTAATTATTTCATCTGCGTTGGAATTTTAAGCTGTGCTGTTTACCATAGCGTTCATTTCATAATTATGGTGTATTTTTTCTGTTTTCATTGCTTTTCACTTGTTGTTTTTTTTCCCCACCCAACTACTTCGATGAGGGAAAGAGTAGTCAGTTAATTTCTATTGTCTTTCTTTTCCAAAAACCTTTGAGGAGGGAGAGAGTAGTAGGTGGATTTGGTGGTGGTGGGGGGGTAGGGATCGAAGACTATCTCTATATCTTAGCAGACATTGATTGCGACAGTAACCATATTAGACACGTGCAATTTCTATTTTCTTTCTTTTCCATTTAGCCAAACTATGCCACAGCAACGCATGGCCGGGTACAGCTAGTCATATTATAAAAAACAAAACCATGCACACACACATACACACTCACACACAATGATACAAAAAATAATCCTACCTCAACTCGCCAGCCATAAAATCTTCAAATGCATACAGGTTCCTCTCCTGATTCTGGCCTTTACTATCAATCTAAGAAGAAAGTGAAAAAACAACCAAAAATTAACAAACATGAAAACTAATAGAATGAATGGAAGTTTCTTAATAACACATCTAACTTCTAATATCAATTTTAAACATACTCTTGACAATAAGAAATGAGGAAAGAGAGTGTGGAATAAAGCTAAGTAAAATAACAGCAGAAATTTCTTCTTCTTCCATGTTTGCCTTTAAAAGAGCAGCTGGCACAGTGTATCATGGTTTACAGTTTGGCAGAGATATATGTGCCTACCAGAGTAACATATCACATTTCAACACTCAAAAGACTGCAAGAACTTCAGGTCAAAAGAAGTGTCGCCAAACAAGAGCACTTTACAGGTAACCAAAGAAGAATAGTAAACCAACACAGAACTGGTGTTATCAGATGCCACACGCTGAGGGATATACTGAAGATGGTATCCAAGTGCTTATGGACTTGTCCGATGTGCACAGAGGATAATATGTCAATAACTAAGTAACTAACTAACTAACTAACTAACTATATCAGATTTCAGAAAACCCTAATTAGTCGCCATTACAACATTCTTGTCATGGGGTCAGTGGGTCTATCTTTTCTCCCCCCAATACTGGGTTCTGAAGCCCACACTGGGACCTCAAGAGAAATACATCTGAAAATGTTAAAAGATCGTAAAGAAAAAGTATAACGGAAGTGAACATGAGGAAATAACACTGGAAAAACATGAGGTAGGGGTGGGGGGAGCATTAGAGAAACAACATGTGAACAATAAAAAGACAAAAATTACATGTAAAAACAATATTAAATAAGAAAATTAGGACATCAACATGAGATAATAACAAAGAAAAAGAATATGTGGAAGTATAATAAGCGAAACAACACATGGACAACAACAAAAGAAAATATCGTGAGGACATAAAGCAATACGAGAAAATAGCACGTGGAATAAAGATGAGGAAAGCAAGTTAAGGGAATAACATTAAAACAAGAGCTTAGAGAAATATGAGAAAATAAAACAGTTTGAGAAAATAATATGAGACCAACATCAGAAAATATCCTGAGAAAACATCAGGCAAACAACATGATAGAATAATAAAAAGATGGAAAAAACAATATGAGAACAACATGATAATATATTAAACATAGTGACAAAAAACATGAGAAAACTGCACGTGGGGAAACAGTGTAAATATAAGAAACCGTATAAGGACAAAAACATAAGGAAATAGCATGAGGAAGACATTATAATGACCACATAAAAGAAATGATGTGAGGAAAATAATACACGAAAAACTGAGTAAAATATCATGAGGAAAGATCATGAAGGAAAATAAATATGAGAAAGCATGAGGAACACAATCTTGGAATATAACATGAGGGAAACAAACACCATGAGAAAAGAATATTAAGTAAACAACATGAGGAAAACAATATAAAGTAAACAAGAAGAGGAAAAAATATTAAGAAAACATCATAAGGAAAAGGAAAACAACGTGGGGGAAAAACGCGAAGATATTAAAACGCTGAAATCAACACGAGGAAATAATACGAAAAGAACAACACGAAGACAACATGAAGAAAACAACACACAAAAAACGAAATAATGATATAATCAACATAAGAAAATAACATGAGATTAGCAACATGAAGCAATATAATGAGAAAATGAAGGTAACAACATAAGGAATATTATATGGGATAAGCTTGCATGTCAACATTGTTTAAACAATGTGAATGAGAGCCGTTTTAATACACTATGGATGATTATGAAATAAGATTACAGCACCCATCTTTGTTAGTTTGGTTTTGCTGTTTGTAGAGAAATCTCCATTGTCTTTGTTTACCGACTGTAAGCTCCAGAGGAAAGTCCTGGTTGTTCATACATTCAGACTTTAGGTGTTTGTCAGAACCTGAGTTTTGCATGTACATCCGTTTTACTGTGTGTTTTTTTTTTTAATGCAGTTAGGCATTCCTTACAACTCTGGCTCAGCACTTCGACTTCGAAGGAAGCTCCCAATTAGTTGACTTCTACAACATGCTTATTGGGAAGGCAGTGGGTCTATTCTTGTTTTCCCCACAATGGAACCCTGGACCCCACAAGGTGACAGAAAATCTATAGCACCTGTTTTACAATAGTTTGTATCAATAGATATAAGACAAAGAAGATGAGGCCGCATTAGCGCAGACGATAGGTGACTCGCTTTCAAATCCAGCTGCGACTCCCTGGTTGCCTGGAACAGCTCTCTTGATGATATCCCTCTATGCCATCATTTCAGCCCATCCAGCATCATCTCTCTTGTCTGCCTCTACCCCTTTTTCCACTGATCTTTACAGTTGTCATGATTTTCTGCGATGTCTTCTCATTATGGGGCCAAAGAACTGTTTGTCTCTTTCTTATTGTTGTATATAGAGATCTTCTTTCATTAGCTTCTTTCAAGCAATCGTTTTTAATTACCTGGCCGTTTAAGGTATTCGTAACAATCGTCTCAGAAACCACATCTCTGTTGCTTCCAAATTCTTCTTAATTTGTTCACTGACATTCCAAGATTCGCTGCCATACAGCAGAACAGGTTCTATTTAACATTTTGGCACCCTCTTTCTGACTTTTAAATGGAAGCAATTTATTGCATGAGATATTTATAGAGGTAATACAAATATTAAAAAACAAATGCCGCAGAATTCAACATCATCACTAGATACCTTGCCAACTCTCTTCACTTTCTGCAATTTCACCTAGAATGCATCAGTCTGTGTGTTGATATTTTTAAGCTTTCTACTGTCAATTTGCTCTCAATGTTTTCCTTTCATCTCTTATCTTTGATATTATCTTAACTTTTCTCTTCTTGATATGTCAAGAGCTCTTCTCTAGAATCTCAACTGTTGTCACTTTTCATTTCTCCTTTTCTGGCACAGTTTAAGTCTGTCATTGCTAGCACAGAGTTCATAGGGAGATGGTATTACAGATTTCCAAGTATCTACTGATAGATTCACTTTTGTTTTTCAGCACTGCTGACATTTGTCCAATTAGTCAGTCTTTTTTATTGAATCAATTCTCAATCTTGTGTTCTGATTTGTCAACTGCTATTTTGCTGGAGTTAGTTTTTTCTGTAAGCTGGATTCTTTGATTCAGGCCATAACCTCAATTTTATCTTTATGCTTATATTCTTAGATTACTTATTTAATGCCATTAGAATGATAAAGTAGTTGCCTTCCTGCAGCAACAACAAAAAAACGGTCAGAGTTCAATATCTAGTAGTACAAGATTCTACAAGTTACTTTGTAACCGTTCTGTGGTGTCTAAATGTAACTGTTCTATATGGCCAGATAGTCGATTAAAGGTTTAAGTCGAGAGGATCGACTTTATTGCACTAGGTTTAACACCATACGGCTTGGTCTCTCGCTGCATAATGGTTAGCCGCCGTAGCACTGGTGACAATCCCCAGGGATGTCCATAAAAAATTGCACTCGTGAACTAAAGGGTGCAGCCGTGAAATGAACCCACGATCTTCAGATCGCGAGGCAAACGGCTTGACCACTTCGCCATGGAGACCCCAGCCATACAGTTGGATGGGGTTTCAGAGATTTGTACCTGTGTGATTCTCATCCTTGAGATGTTATTCCTACAGGCTGTAATCCTGAAGGGGCAGGGGATTTCAACAACAACAACAAATAGTCATCATCATCCAGTATTCTGCCAGCTGGCATAGGCAATCATGTTTCTCCACAATTTATAGTCTTCACCTTTTCTCACTGCTATGATAACAGAACATCGAGAATCTTCTTTTGCTGCCTGTCTCTTTCTCTCTTTCCACAGATATGTCCAGTTGTATACAACATTTTCAACGCAGAATGGTATGCCTTTTTTACATATTTTTACTGTACAGTAATAAGAAATGAGATAGTCAAGTTTCCTAATCAGCCCCTATTTTAATTGTTTTTCCCAATAATCCAGATCCATATGTTTTTGGGGAAAATGAGCCCTCATCAGCTATGGATTTAACCTGAACCACTATATTGGCAACCCCATGCACTATCCATTTTTTTTTTCAATTCTTTTTTGGTAGATAAGAAGATGGGTATACTGTTTTGTTTTTTAAGTTTTTTATTAAAAAGATGTCAACTGCAGTGAGAACAAGAGTGCTGAAGTGTTACAAAGAACATGTTATATGCGCACGACACATAGACTACAATATGCAGACAAGTTCTAAAACTATGCCCTCAGCAGAAACGTAGTTACTGAGAAGAATGCAAAGAATATAATGGAATGATAGAAAACAATGAGACAATCAGTCGAAAACCATATGATGATCAGAAATATTAGATGCAGACAAACAATTTTTTTTCCGAACATGCTATGAGAGGGAATGGACTCAAGAACTTGGTAACAGCTGGCAAGATTGATGAAAAAAGAGTAAGGTGAAAGCAAAGAGATAAATACCTGGATGGCTTGACTATAAGTATGAGGGAGCTAAAGGATGGGGGGGGGGGGGGGGGGGGGGGTTGTGTGTGTGTGTGTGTGTGTGTGTGTGTAAGACAAGTACACACTAACCTGTTTCTGGTGATAGTGTTAGATAATGAAATATGACTGTGTGTTGATAACTTTAGCACATTATGATGATGACACTTTTTTTTAAATTAACTAATGTAATTTAATTCATCCTGAGAAGAAACGAGCCGAGAATCATCAAATTAAAATGGGAAATAACAGGACTCAGGAAGTGAGGACATCCAAATGAAACCCTGAAATAAACGTTGATGATACAGGCAAAAGGGTGATAAGATGGATATCGAAGAGATTGCACAGGATGAAATGGAGGAACAGACTGCTAGCATTGTGTTACATATCATGGAACAACAGGACAATGGCGGTTATTGCTTTAATAAAGCTAAATCCATAAACAGATACTTAGGTAGAAAGAAAAGTGACATATAGTGGAACAACATGGCAATGATGGCGGTTATTGCTGTAAAAAAGCTAAATCCGTAAAGACACTTACCTAGAAGGAAAAGTGACATAAAGTGGAAACACAGGACAATGATGGTGGTTATTGCTTTAATAAAGCTAAATCCATAAACAGACACTTATGTAGAAAGAAAAGTGACATACAGTGGAACAACATGGCAATGATGGCGGTTATTGCTGTAATAAAGCTAAATCCGTAAAGACACTTACCTAGAAGGAAAAGTGACATAAAGTGGAAACACAGGACAATGATGGTGGTTATTGCTTTAATAAAGCTAAATCCATAAACAGACACTTATGTAGAAAGAAAATTGACATACAGTGGAACCACAGGGTAATGATGGCGGTTATTGCTGTAATAAGGCTAAATCCATAAACAGACACTTACATAGAAGGAAAAAGTTTCATCAAACTGAGGACAGATAGTTTTCTTCCTGACTGCAGTCTTCTTGACTTCCTTTGCCCTTGTCTTGCCATACGACAGAGTGACAACAGCATATGGATTGCAGGCACCATTAATGACAGTCAGGTCCCCACACTCCAGTACCCTGTGAATTAGTTACAAAATCTTCTGTGGTATATCTTATCAGGCATGAATTTATAGTTAGAAACTCTGTCGGTTCGTCTGTATTTCCATCCTATCATCCATCCATTTAACTGTCTGTCTCTGTCATTTTCTCTTCAATGTATTTATGCAAGTACAAGTTTTCAAAAAATATGTTTGCCTTTTTATGTGTATTTGTGTTTGTTTGCATGTTTGTGTGCTAATATTGGCATAAAATCTAAAGTAGCCCTTTTCACACCACATGTGTATGAACGAATAGTGTTGGCCCCCTATAGGTTTAGACCAAGAGGCATTCCATGAATAATGTGATCAATAAAATACTCATTCATTCATTCAGTAGCATGTCTCTCGCGGAACCTCGCTGCCATAACAACCCTCCGGAAAACCTTCCTATCATGAGCAAGATGTCCTGCGTCTGATACACCCATCTGGAGATCATCTGCCACATCCTGCACCCATCTTCTCCTTGGCCTTCCTCTTCCTCTCTTCCCAGGCATATACCCCTCCATTATTGTTCTCTCTAGACCTCCATGACGTTTCAAGTGACCAAAATATTTCAATTTTCTTTGTTTTATTGTCTTTACTAGCCAACCCTCTTCAATATTCAGCTCTTGAAGTATGGATGCATTTGTTCTTTTCTTTACCCAAGATATTCTTAGAACCTGTCTGTAACATTTATATTCAAATGCATTTATGCGCTGTTCCGCTTGTTTAGTAAGTGTCCAGGTCTCACAGGCGTATGTTGCAATGGGAAAGATGCATGCTCTTAAAAATCTGACCTTTGTAATTCTATCTGTACAATTCCATAATTTATTCAGTTGTTTTAGTCTTTGAAGAGCAATTGATAGTCGCCGTTTAATTTCTTTCATTGTGTCACCATTGTTGGTAAACAGTGACCCAAGATATTCGAAATTTTCCACCACTTCCAATCTTTCCTCATTAACATATATTTCCTTCTCCATGGCAGTTTTGTTTGTATGCATTATCTTTGTTTTTTGTGTGTTAAGAAATAAGTTATGATTTTCACTATTTCTTTGGAGTGAGGTTAATAAGTTTTCTAAACCATTTTGTGATGTTGATAGTAATACTGTATCATCAGCATAACGAATTTCTGGTATTTCATGACCACCGATGTTTAGGGCATCATATTGTTCCTTGTTTATATCATCTCTTACATTTCTCATTATATTTTCGGCGTACAGGTTGAACAAATACGGTGACAGCACACATCCCTGACGGACTCCTTGCTTGATGCCAAACCAGTCTGATGTCTCTCCATCTATTCTGACTGCTGCTTGTTGGTCTTGATAGAGCATTTTAATGAGCTGCACTATATGTGATGGAAAGCCCATATTCCTCATGATTTCCCAAAGCTTCTGATGTTGTACACAGTCAAATGCTTTTGAATAATCCACAAAACATAAGAACAGATTTACATTAAATTCTCTACACTTCTCTATTATTAAACGCATGTTGAATATATGATCTCTTGTTCCTCTTCCCTGTCTAAATCCAGCCTGAGCTACATTAATCTCTTCTTCCATTTTCTTTTGCAGTCTTCTCATTATAATTTTTAGTAGAATTTTACTTGCATGACTGATCAGGGCAATAGTTCGATAGTTTGTACATAATTTCAGGTCACCCTTTTTTGGTATTGGAATGAAGATAGTTCTCTTCCAGTCTTTTGGCCAAATACCATATTTCCATATCTTTTCACATAATGCATGATAGATTTTTATGCTTTCTTCTCCTCCCGCTTTAATCAATTCAGCTGGTATCTCATCACATCCAGGTGATTTACCATTTTTCAGGCTCCTTATTGCCCATGAAATTTCATCTAATGAAGGTTCAGGTTCTGCCTCTACTGTTACTGGTTCATGTATATCATTCATATCCTCACTGTCATTCATATCATACATTCCGCTGCAGTATTCCTGCCATCTTCCTAGAATTTGTCTAGATTCTGTTAAAGTATTTCCCAACCTGTCACAAATAACATTTAACTGAGGTTGAAAATTTCTTGTCAATAACTTCATTTCCTTGAACATTTCGTAATCTCTTCCATTTTTGTGATGCTGCTCTATTTTAATACAGCAATCTTGTACATACTGATTTTTATCCTTTCTTGTGTACTTTCTTATTTCTCGTGTAAAAAATTTATACTTCATCCTACTATCATTGGTTTCTCCTTTCTTTTTCAGTTCTCTTCGTTGTTTTATTAGTTCTAACGTGTATGGTGTGATCCATGGTTTATGTTGCTTAGTCCTGGTGGGTATTAAGTCTTTAGCTGCTGTTATCAAGATATCCCTAGCTTGTACCGCCAGTTCATCAGGTGTCATTTCCTCTTGTACAGACATCAAGACCTCAAAACGGTTCTTCACTTCTACGTTGTATGCATCTGGTATTTTTGTGAGATCAAATCGAAATGGCCTTGGTCCTCGGGTAAGCTTTTTGAGTTTTAATTTTAGATCTGCTTCTAGTAACTGATGATCTGTATCGCAATCTGCACTTCGCAGGGTTTTTTGCAGATGTTATGCTCGATCTCCATCTTCTTTGTATTAAAATGTAATCTATCTGATTTTTGGTAACACCGTCAGGGGATGTCCATGTGAAAAGCCTTCTAGGGTGTTGTTTATAAAGTGTGTTAGCTATTGTTAATTCATTTTCTATGCAAAATTCAATCAATTTTTCTCCTGTTTCATTTCTATTACCCAATCCAAATTTTCCTAAAACGTGTCTCTCATTTTCATCTCTGCCTGTACCTACTTTAGCATTAAAATCTCCCATTATTATTATTATATCATTCTGATTAATTTTATTTAATGTGTCTTGCAGTATGGCATAAAAATCTTCAATTTCGCCCTCCTCTGCTGTTGAAGTTGGTGCATATACCTGCATGAAAGTTATGTTTTTTGGACGGCCTTTAAGTCTGATAGTTAGGATTCTATCACTAACTGGATTATATCCCATAATAGCTTTTGCTGTTGTTTTATCTAAACAAAATGCCACTCCGCTCTGGCCTCTTACATCTCTACCAGAATATACGAAAATACTAGATGTCTTTATTTCCTAGCACATTTTCTGGCACCAATATTAGGCTGCCTGTGTCAATGTAAAAGTGCTAGCTGATATACTTCTGCACCTGCTCAATTCACATCATTACGGTACCAATTCTACCTATGAAATAGAAGGTCTGGGTTTCTATTGATACTTAATGTATGCTTTCATCTGTAAACAAGATAGCAAATGATAGACAGAGCCTGTGTTGTTATTTTCATGTTAGACATAGATAATAACTATCCTTTCAAGGTAACAAATGATATATAGAACCTGTGTTGTTATGTGAGATATGGATAATAACTCTAGTCTTTCATCTGTCCCCAATAAAACAAATTATATAGAGAATCTGTGTTGTTATATGTATGTGAGACATGGATAACAACTCTGTCCTTTCATCTTTCCCCAAGGTAACAAACTATATAGAGAATCTGTGTTGTTATATGTATGTGAGACATGGATAACAACTCTGTTCTTTCATCTTTCCCCAAGGTAACAAACTATATAGAGAATCTGTGTTGTTATATGTATGTGAGTCATGGATAACAACTCTGTTCTTTCATCTTTCCCCAAGGTAACAAACTATATGGAGAATCTGTGTTGTTATATGTATGTGAGACATGGATAACAACTCTGTCCTTTCATCTTTCCCCAATAAAACAAATTATATAGAGAATCTGTGTTGTTATATGTATGTGAGACATGGATAACAACTCTGTTCTTTCATCTTTCCCCAAGGTAACAAACTATATAGAGAATCTGTGTTGTTATATGTATGTGAGACATGGATAACAACTCTGTTCTTTCATCTTTCCCCAAGGTAACAAACTATATGGAGAATCTGTGTTGTTATATGTATGTGAGACATGGATAACAACTCTGTCCTTTCATCTTTCCCCAATAAAACAAATTATATAGAGAATCTGTGTTGTTATATGTATGTGAGACATGGATAACAACTCTGTCCTTTCATCTTTCCCCAAGGTAGCAAACTATATAGAGAATCTGTGTTGTTATATGTATGTGAGACATGGATAACAACTCTGTCCTTTCATCTTTCCCCAAGGTAACAAACTATATGGAGAATCTGTGTTGTTATATGTATGTGAGACATGGATAACAACTCTGTCCTTTCATCTGTCCCCAAGGAATTTGTTCAGATGCGTACCGCTTCTGGTATACTGCAGCCACTGCTCTCTCCAGGTATTATTAAATTGGAGTAATCTTCATGTTCGGAATACAGTTAATGTAGTGTTTCGGTTCATATTTTAGCAATTGGTTGTGACATGCATTCAGGTGACTGATACTTCATTCAGGCCAGTATTCAAACAGTGGTGTGGAACTTAGGTTCTGTCAGCTCACACAGCAGAAGGTGTAAACATGGACTGCACTCAGACAACCAGCCAAAGGGACCATCTTCTTACCTTCAGTAATGCTCAATTTTGAACACTGAACTTCTTCCACAACAAATATGCTTATCTGCATGAAACACATTTATAATGATGGTGATGATGATGGCCACACCAAATCCTGCTGTTGAAGCAAACCACCCACCTGACTGTCATCCTGTGGGACATCTCAGCTGTGGGTGTCAGAAACTCTTCCAGTTTCACCTCAACCTGAACTTTGCCCTGCACCTCTATGTCACTATCTTGGTAGGTCAGAGGAAACCAGTGCTCTTTCTGGTGGTACTTGTATAGCTCCTCTTTTTTCAGTGACACTTTTCCCAGGACCTGTAGACAACAATAAGAAAGAGGATGAGCAGTGGACCATAGTAAGCAATTGGAGAAAAGTTAAAAAATATTTTCCGCATTATAAGAAAATGAACAAGCAATCTATCTAAAGCCCATATACACAAAATCACCACCTGCGAGATGAGATGCCTGAGAAAAGCAGCCAACCTAACCATACAAGATCGAGTGAATA